AGGTGCAACAATTTATGGCAGATTTAGATGTGTAAATAATAGCGCATTTATTCAGGGAATTTAATCTTTAATGGGGCTTAAGTCAAGCTATTAGAGCTGCATGAACTGGGATTAGTTTTAAGATTTATTTTTAAGATCTATTTTATTAAATTGCAGCATAAAATAATACAGTTTTAAATCAAAAATAGTTGGGCAACATTTTAATTTAATTTAATTAAATAATTAATTAAATGATACCTAATTAAGCCATTAAATACGATTAAAAATACATCTATAAATGCCACAAAGTAAGGCAACTGCCACTCTTGTCATTAGCTATCAAAAGTATCAAGTATCTGAGTGGTTGCAGATTTTCATGCTCTTTTTAATTTATGGTTTTCTCAATTTCTGATATCATATTACACAGTCTGGGAGCAGCCATTACACTTCCATAAACATCACCATTAGGGATTCCTTTTAGAGCTCTCCTTGACGCCCAGAAAAGCCCCCCAAAAACCGTCGAATGAAATTACTATCAACGTCAACAGCTTCATGCAACTTGGTCGTCAGCCAAGAGCCTCAAACACTTTTTGTGGGGAGAGGAAAGCACCCGAAGACTGCGTCACGATAGAGCCAGGGCCGCAATGCATATAGCACCTGGCAGGCTGGCTAGCAGTCAGGCTGGCAGTCAGGCAGGGAGCCTGGTGACTGGCCCTGTAATCCATTCACTTGCGAAGAGGAAATTATTATAATTGCATTAGTTCCAAAGGCAGAAAATTGAAATTGAAATACGTTAGACGATGTCGGGCATGACCGGATGCTGATGGATGGGCAGATGGAAAGATTGGATGAGTGTTCACTTGCTACAGAGATGGCCAGATGGAAGGGTTGACGTAATATCTCCTGCTGGCTGAGGCGTGTCCTGGTTCCATATGGACCCATTCACACGGTTAATGCTTCCCCTTTTTTTTGGCTCAAAAATTAATCAAAACTGATTGAATCTCTGTTATTTTTTCTCAGGCGAGGATATGACCTTAGCTCGTTTAATCAGATAAAACGGAAGTCATCAACAAATTGCTTATAATTGACATTAGATACTCATTACGTATACGCCACCAGGCACACATCTGGGTTGTGCCTTGCACTTTAATGGGAAAAGTTCTGTTTTATGTGTGTGTTGTACTCTCTGTACTCTTTTATAATCGCCTGACATTGATGGGGCACAACTTGATAGACATTTCGTGCCTGTTCCGACGTTCGTGCGCAGTATTTTTAATGGCTGTCGATAGGGAAAATCAATACGAAAATAGGAAAATTATTCCCTCTGATTAACACGGAAAATGCCAGTCAACCAAACAACAGCACGAAACATGTCCAAAATATACAGGGTTACAGGGAAGTCAGAGTCAAGGATCAATGGCCCATTAAAGCTCATTTTATCAATGAAAAAAAAACCAATTTACCATACAAAAAGTCTCCCACAAAAAGTACAACATTAAAGAGCCATACAAATATTTGCTGAAAAATTCCGGAATATGTAAACAGTAACAGAAAAAGAAAACAAAAATATAAAAACTTCTGGGAAATGTAAAATTTGTATATGCGCGCTGCATGCGATGCTCTGATTTGCGTTGAAAATATGCAAATATCAAAATGAATGAGTGACTGACGGCGGAGGAAACCTGAAAATACAATCGAAAGAGCCGGAAAAGCGAACACAGAACACAGAGATGGAGGGGGCAAGCTCTCGTGCGACATGTGTTTCAACATTTCTACCTGTCAGGAGAAGGTTATATAAATTGCAAAAATGTTTGCCATTAGCTGGCGCAAAAGTTCAACTCAACTCGCACAAATGTTGAACCTCTTTTGAGGTGGCAGCAGTACAGGAGTGTAGTTTACATTTTTGATTTCGCACTAACCGCAGCAGCACCGAAATTGTTGACCCCAAGTAATTAGAAAAGTTTTGTGCTCCGCCAACCGTCTGTTCCATGGAGATTGCTGTTGCTGCTCACCAAAAGAACTTTTCACTCCGTCCAAATCCTCTAAGGATTCAGCTTTCAATTTGCCTTTGGGTTTCCTTCACAGTTTGCTGCCAGTTCGGTGTGGATTATGCTGCAGTGGAAGAAATATGCGCAAATTGCCTTCGTTAGATGCATTGAAGGGGGGCACTGGCAGACTGGGAATTGCACACTTTGGTCAGACAATTGAAATGCCAAGTTTTCCATTATATAAAGCATAAATGAATGCTTTGAGAAAATGCAGAACTGCAGCGAAGAGCTTAGAAATCAATCACTTTTGAAGTGGCAAATTGTTTAATTGGGTTTTTGGTTGATCGATTTATTTAAGGATTTTTACATTTCTCTTCGATACATTTCGTTGGATTAAAATGGAATTTAACGCAATTTATCCATGGAGATTAATTTGGAGACTGTTCTGGGAGACAAACCGCATGCGAAAATAGATTGCGAATTTCTTTATTCACCTTAATCTATTATATATGTTTCACTTCACTTCTTCAATCCACTTCAATCGATTCTATTTCTTTTATACTTCAATCGACATTAATCTATTCTATTCAATTTCTTTCTATTCTATTAATATTCTTCATTCCTTATTTTCAAATTTAATTTCCCTTACGAAAATGCAACCATAAAAATATCTAATAGAAACACTTCTCCCACAATTCTGCCACAATAAAATGCCAACACGTACAAAAAAGTATCCCAACAAAAAATAACGAAGAGAAATGAATTTGGTTAGCATTCAAAGTGGAAAGTGGAAACTGTCAGGCAAGGACGACTCATCCTCAATTCTTTTCCCCACAGTTTCCTGCTCCCATAAGATAAGACGAGGAACAAAAGACAGTAGTAGCAGCAGCATCCCACACACACCCACAGCCACAGACAATGCCTTGCAATGCCTTCTGCCTGCCATAGAAACCTCCAACAAGTGCGGATGTGGCTGCGGCTGTGACTGAAGGAGGACTGTAGGAGTGGCGATAAACCCAGCATAAAATGTGAGTAAGTGAAACTACTTATGCAGCAGCAGCAGCAGCAGCTTCACCACCACTAACCCTAGCCCTGGGGCCGACGCCCAGCTGACTGCAGGGATCGATCCAAAGGAGCAGCTCAGAAGTAGCAGAAATACAAACATATGTGTGCGGCGGCTGAATCGATAGGCGTGTGGTAGCTGACGACTGACTGGCGACTGGCGACACATAGCCGGCACTTTTTGTTGTTGCTGCTGTTGCCACACAAAAAAAAGGAGGCGTGGAGTCCGTTGGTGGGTGGTTGGTTGGGTGGCAAGGTGTTGCAATAAAAACTTTTGACTGGCTGCCCTGACGCTGATGTAATACCGCAAGACAGTTTTCCTTCCCTGCTGTACGTCATATGGTCGAACAAGCGGCACAAAAAAAAAAACAACAAAAACTTTGAATAAAACGCCGGCTGAAAAGGTGCTGTGCTCTCTGGGAGAGTGTACTCTCTCTCTCTAGTGTTTCATTCTCTCTTTCCCTTAATTTCTCCCTCTCTCTCGCTCTCTCTACGTTGCACATGCGCGTCATACAAATTGTGTGGCTCAATGCGAATTTGTGTAAAGTTTTTAACTTTGCAATTACCCAGCGAATTGCATTTTCTTTGCCTTCTTTCATCTATAGAATCCTCCATCCTCTTTCCGCTTTCCGCTGTTGATGAATCAGCTGTTTTGGCACAGCCACTGGAATAACCTTAGTGGAACTTGCTTCCACAGTGAGTGAGTGAGTGTTTGTCCATTCCATGCCCATTGAGTGAGTGTTCCAGTGAGTGGCGACATTCATTTCGGTGTCGGTGTCGGTGTCGAGCCTGCTGCCGGTGGCTCCCCATAGTCCATGGGCACCCCGGCCGGCCACCAGCTGGCTAGGTACCCGTGCCCCCGGCCGCCGTGTGAGCACCGCTGCTGTCTGTGCCACAAGCCATATGCTATTGATTTTCTGGTGGGGTCTTCTGCCTTCTGCCTTTTTGGCCATTTTTCTTTGCCTTTGCCTTGGGTCTTCTTTGGCCCGTGTTTCTCGGCTTACTTCGCGTTTTGCTGACGCGCTCGGTGTCCGTAATGTCAGTTAATTTATTCTCCAGCCAGAGAATATTTTTGTGTTATTTACTTTATGTCTTTATAGTCGTTTATATACATACATATATATTCTTGTTGGTCTACTTTTGGTTTGGAGTTGAGTTCTTGGCCTGGCAAAAGTAAGTACAAATAATGTAGCATGACTCTCCTCTGGGTCTGGCTTTGTGGCTGTATGTAATGACACTCCAAGGATTGTAAGGTGATATTGATCAAAGTTATGAAAGAACTAGTAGAAATGTGGCCAAAGGGAAATCAAAAGAGATGGATGATGATACAAAATGGTAGAATAGAAGAGGTGTAAGGGTAAATACAAATAATTAATCACTTTATGCGACGCTTTAGAATTTCAATAGAAATACCAACCGCAATTTTGTAGAATTATGAAAGTCATTATTTACGATTAATTTCACTAATGCCCCGGAAAATATACTTCTAGCCAGCCCCAAAAGGGAGAACCCTTCCCACGAAATGTGGTATAAAATATTCATATATTTCGCCCGAAATCAAAAATGCACCCTAATCCCACAATTCTTTTTGGACGAGTCATAACTCAGCCGAGCCCGGCTACGAGTCACCCCCTTTTTTGAGGCACTGCATCCACCCACCACCCGACCATTCCCATCCCCATTCACTTGTCGCCTGCAAGATTGCAATAAAAATCCATTACTAACACACATACACACACTCTCCAACAAAAGACAGACACAACTGTCGACGATAAATCAAAAGGAAAGAACTGTGACAATATAAATGCAAATGCTCGCAGTCTGTAAAGTGGGCTAACAGGCTAACAGCCTTCTGTTGCCTTAAACGCAAACGCAAACGAAACGAAACGAAAACCCTTAAAAACATTCAGACAAATATGGCTTTCAATAGATTATAAAAGATAGCATGGTTACCCATACTATACTACTCACCTTGTCTACCGGCATTGATGGGCACGCTCTGCACAGATTCCAGAATGAGCCAATCATAGGGAAATGCTTTTGATGTTGTACCAGAAAATACGAAATTAAATTCAACACGCGCACGTAGGCTTATGGTATATTCTTCTTTTTCCTTCTTAAATTTTAAGTTTACTTATTTTATTTGCTTGCTTTTGGTTTTTTTTTTTTTCTTTTGTTTTGGGAGCAACAACCAGGGGGACACACAGGGAATCACACGCGCTTTCAGTTCGCTTCCGTTTCCGCTCTATCTCTATATATCTCTCTCGCTCTCCCTCTGCTCTCTCTATCTCTCTCTCTCACTATCTCACTCACTCTCTATACGCACACGCACCTGGATAATGCGTAGCGTAGAAAGTGCGTTTGTATTATTGTCATAGGCCCAAAAATTGGATGAGATTTTTGCCTGAAGAAAAAGGAAGTGAAGTGAGCAAAAGCATTGCATACCAGCAGGCGCCAGTCAACGGTACTTCTGTTTTCCACTGATGATCTCATGCACAAACACGCACACACACACACACCCTCCACGGGGCAGAATTTCTATGAAAATTTCGGATATAAACCCACTGAATATCCTAGTAATTAGCCAATTAAAGGATTATGGGCAAATGGAGGAAAACAATTTTTATTGACTATAAAAATCCCATAGCATCGACACCCTCCCCTAGCACACCCCCGCGCTCGTTCGGTCGTTCGTTTCGTTGTATTGCTTTTTATTTTTATGCCCTGGCAAATCGATATCTATTTTTCATGACAGCCCCTGTGGTATGCAATACTTTCTTTTGCCGCCTCGCATTTGTACTGCAATTTTGCGATAATCTCTGGGTTTTTCTTTGCTTTTCTTTACTTCGGATATGGCCACTGGAGCGAGACTTTTTTGTGGTTTACTTTAACACCGTCTTGAAGGGGGCGAGGGGGGCTACTAGCCATACAACAACAACAACGACAACATATATTAGAAGTTCACAGGAAAACACACTTTTTCAATTTGTATTGAGTTTTGCACACTGCTGCTGCTGCTGCTTGGTGGACTCTGCTGCCTGCTATGGATATTGCTTCTCCTTTGGTTATTCTTGGGTTTTCCGTTGAGGGGTTTTTTTTCACCGCAAAAACGTTGGCCACTCGACGACGGTACGAACACGAATGAGTCCCCAGCTTAAAACGTTGCGAAGTCCCCCAGAGCGTCGGCGTTGGAGTTGACGCAGGGCTTGGAAGTTCTCCATATCTCTCGGCTCGCCACCCCGGCGGCTGGCGGGGTGGCTACCGCTTTATGGAAATTTTGATTGGAATTGGGAGAGAGTAAACATATGTTTGCATAGGCGTTGAAGTGCCCAGATTTGATTGATCATTTCTCAGTTCAACCAGCTAAAAGTTTCAAACTTTGAAGGTCTTTAAAATAATTTTATTTTAAATGTTTAAACATTTGCAAAACATCGTTAAAAGTTAAATATGTTTAAACATCGATAGCACATATTTGATCTTTTTCCAGCTATCTGGCAGCCCCATAAAGGCTGCAAATGTGTAGTTACCGTGTAGTTACCATGTAATTTGCCATCAGAAGACCATTTCCTCTACTTGATTAAACCTTATTTGTGAATAATTCAAATGAAAATGAGTACTTAAAGTTAGCAAATCTTTTAGGAAATTGATTAATTAATCGTAGAAAAATATATGTTCAGCGCTGAGAGTCTTAGCTTTCTAGTAATATTTAGCCGAATATTAAAATCGAGGAATATCAATACATCACAGCTTGCCGTGTCCGCCAGTATATTTACGGTATATTATGAAAATGAGAAGGTATAATTGGGTACATTTTTGAGGGTCAGACCGTATATATTGTCGATAAAGCCGCGGTCACACTGATGCTAAATTTTGTTTACAAATGAAATGATACGAATCCGTCGCGCTATTTCTGAGCAGGTGAGCTCTTAAACCCATTAAACGTCAATATATGAACGCTCCCAAGACTGCTTCCTGTAGCTGCCACAGCTGAAGAACATTTACCATGCCCTGGAAGTGCCGCTTAAGAAGCAGCAGCTGCAAAATGCCCGGCGGCCGACTCTGGAATGGACACTGCCTGCTGCCGTTGCGCAACAGGAGCAGGAGCTGCTGGATTCCCTGAGAAGTCACACCTTCGATGCCACCTACATAGAGAAAGTGCGCGTGGTGCCCAGCGCTGGACGCAGTGCTGCCAAAGTAGAATTCCAGCTGCAGCCGCAGGCCTTTGTGGAGCAGCTGCTGCGGAAAAGACAGCCGGAGGCCCAGCCACTCTCCCCCACTGACGAGCATGTGGTTGTGGAGTACAGTTCCCCCAACATTGCCAAGCCTTTCCACGTGGGCCACCTGCGCTCCACGATCATTGGCAATGTGCTGGCCAATCTCCACCAGCATTTGGGCTACCGCACGACGCGCCTCAATTACCTCGGGGATTGGGGCACACAATTTGGTCTCTTGGCACTGGGCGTTCAGCTGAACAATGTCAGCGATAAGGATATGCGGAGAGCGCCCATAGAGACGCTCTACAGATCCTATGTGGCGGCCAATAAAGCGGCTGAGGAGAACCCAGAGATTGCACAGCGAGCTAGGGACATCTTCACAGCCCTGGAGGCAGGAACAGACGACGCGATGGCCCAACAATGGCGGCAATATCGTCGGTACACGATTGAGGAACTCGCGGGGGTCTACAATCGTTTGGGCGTCCACTTTGACAGCTACGAATGGGAGTCGCAGTATTCCCAGCAGCAAATCAGCGATGTGCTGGCGAAGCTACGCTCTGCGGGGATTCTCCAGCGAGAGGTGGATGGCCGCGAGATTGTGGTGGTGGATGATCGACGCATTCCCGTAATCAAAAGCGATGGCTCTACGTTGTATCTGGCAAGGGATATAGCGGCGCTCCTTGAGCGGCATTCCCGTCTGCAGTTCTCGCGCATCCTCTATGTGGTGGACAATGGCCAGGCGGATCATTTCAATGCCTTGTTTAAGACAACGGCTGCCCTGGACAAACGACTGAGTCTGGAGCAGCTGAAGCATGTGAAATTCGGACGCATTCATGGCATGAGCACGCGGCAGGGTAAGGCCATATTTCTGCGGGATGTCCTGGACGAGGCACGCGATGTAATGCGAGAGAAGCGCCAACAAAGTGCAAGTATGTGGCGGATATAATTCCATAGGAATTTATTCTTTATAATCCCTTTTTTAGCCACCCGAGCGAATAGTTCGCTGGATGATGACGATGTCTGTGATATCCTGGGTGTTTCAGCGGTCCTCGTGAATGTCCTCAAGCAGCGACGGCAGCGGGATCATGAATTCAGCTGGCAGCAGGCGCTACAAGTCAATGGGGACACGGGCATTAAGCTGCAGTACACACACTGCCGCCTGCATAGTCTGTTGGAGAACTTCAAGGATATAAAACTGGAGGACATAACACCCGATTGGCTGCACTACAGCCAGGAGCCAGTGGATGCCTTGGATTTGCTGTACGAGCTGGCGCGTTTTGATCAATGCATTTGGCAATCCAAAGAGCAATTGGAGGCCTGTGTTCTGGTTAATTATTTGTTTGGCTTGTGGTGCGTATACCAAGAATCCCAAATCCCAGGTGCCTAGAAGTTTTTAATCCTTTCTGTGCATCTCCTCTAGCAATGCCACAAGTCGTGCCCTGAAACGTTTACCTGTGAAGCAGGAGAACTGCCCGCTGAAGCAATCGCAGCGTTTGCTGCTCTTCCAAGCCGCCAAGCAGACGCTGCAGCAGGGTATGCAGCTGCTGGGCCTCAGGCCACTCGACCAAATGTAGAGAAAGACTCAATCTTTAACATAGTTTTTGATGTTTATTAAACATTTTTGAACTGAAATGCAACGTGAGAGTGAGCTGTGCCGCGCTTAGCGCTTCTTCCACGTGTACTTGCGGCGTGCTCCTTCCTGTCCGAACTTCTTGCGCTCCCGCCGGCGATAGTCACGTGTCAGCAGACCGGCTGCAAGCATAAATGGCAACAATTAGCGGCAAAATGGATAGAGCAATGGAGCAGGGGACTGCTGGCACTTACCCAAACGCATTGACTCAATCATCTCTTGATCAACGAAGCTGCGCAAACACATGGCAATGCCCCAGCGTATGGCGCCCGACTGACCGGATGGACCGCCGCCTTCCACATTGGCCTCCACATCGACTTTGCCCAGCAATTCACTGTAGTTCAGCGGGAAGAGCAACTGAAAAAAACCAGAATACAAGAACACAAAAATTAGAGGGAATGAAAAATGGGGCCACCCGTTAGATGTCAAGTTCAGATGTCGCCCCTGGCCCCGAGACATCCATTGTATGGCGAATAGAAATCTATATAATAGTTATTGTATTTCCCCGAATGCAAATGCAAATGCGGTAGCGCTTCCTGTACAACAATAGATAATGGCCAAGTTGTTAGCCAAATTAAATGTCTGTTAGCCGCAACGCCACAAAACTGCAGCAAATTGTTGCATGTTCACCCTTGGGGCGTTTCGTCGGCTACGGCTAGTGTGAACTGTGCGAACTCACTCTAACAAAAGGTGTGATGCCAATTATAAGTGCAGTTGGCAGTGGTTTGGGGTATAATTGCAGAGCCGCAGGCCAGGCTCAGCAGCACGCGCGGCCACCACAGTTGTAAATAATAGGGGGAAATACAGAACAAATAAATATATTTATGTATATATTTGTTGATTTTTTTTGCACGATTGTGTAAATCTAAATGAAAGCATTTTCTAGAAAAAATGCTATAAAAAGGAGTAAAAAAAAACTATAAATTATGTATAATAAATGAGAATAATTTTACACGGATAAAGGAGAAGACGTGGTGTTCTTCTGACTATAATAAAGAAGTCCCTTTAATATGTTCTGTATTCAGCCATAAGTACAATCAATTGGAAAAAGTTTTCAGCAAAAGAATTAAGCCCTGACTTTCATCAAAAATTAAATCAATCAACAACTAAATTATGGCAGATCTAAGGGCAAATATAAAAGGTGGTTAAGTCGGGGAAAGTCTCAACGAGGAAGAAAATGTATTAATTGATTCATTGTAAGTGTGAGCATATCTAGTAATTTATTCTGGCATATCTAATATTTATGCATAGAAAGAATTATAGCTGCTTTCCAATGAAATGAATCCCCTTTAAATTCATTCAAAAAAATTCCCCCAATCACCTCCTAAATTCTGGGAATATTGAATATAAACTTACAATTAATCACATACATTCGTATTTGTTGCATATTAAAAAAGAAGACTGTGACGCCAGTTTCAAAGGTCAAATAATCCAACAGATCAGATCACAACAAATCGTAATTCAAATTCTGAATTTGGTTTGTCGACCCGATTGCGTGGGAAATAAAGTCCAAGCCCTCTCGGTTCCACAATGGTCCACGGCACACAGACAATAAACGTTATGATTAAAAAACAATAAACAATAAAAATGCTCAACAATCAATCGGGGAACAGCCAATTTTTTAACTGTTTCTGTTTTGGTAAACCAAATTGACAAACGACAATCAATCAAATCAAAAGATTTTCGAGATGAGAGCCCGCTCGAGAGAGCGTACAAATTTGTGATTTGTTTAAACAAATTGCTGGGATAGATGACTTCACGCTACAGCGAGAAACATTAAAAGGCTTTGGGATTGCGAACAAGATTTTTAAATTAATGTACACACACAATTAACGACAGCAACACAAAAATGCGATAAAAATAGCAACCAATTTGCAAAAAAAAGTGACGAGGCACACGAGAGATTAAAACTGGTTTTAATCCCCTATCTTTAGGGGGGGGTCCCGCAACCCAATTTAAGAACTATTTTTACAGAAACTTATTGTGCTTTCTACTGTAGAGAACTTAAGGGACACTCGCCTAAGGTCTTCCCCCAGAAATTTCTACTAGAACACTCTCTTCTCTATCTTTCTCAATATAATATATGTAGGGGTGTAAATTCCAAAGAGAACCCGGCATTTTGCTGGCACTTTAAGAACATTCTCGGGTACCTTTTATTATGATTTAAATGAATTTTATAGTTTGACACATCCAACGAAGATGTGACAACAGTAGGTACATCAACGACGACATCTTCGTGGGCTATCGTCGTCGTAAAAGACAGTCGTACCATATATAGTATATATACTAAGTGTACTGTATCTACATCTTCATTGACGCGTCGCTCGGGCGCTTAGTTTTGGACACAGACCGGAGACTAACGGAGAACAGAATATCATTTTGGCGCAGTTCTTTTTTATCAGTCGATTCAACGTCGTTGAGCGTCCGCGTCTCAAGTGTCGGGAAAATTTGTTGAAGGAAAAACCATTCAAAAGAAAAAAGGAATATCTTTCTTGGCCAAACATAATGTCGCGTCGATCAATCGATCAGCCACGGCACTGGGCCTGTCATTAAAAGAAAGAGTCAAAGACTTGGAACAAATGTAAATTGAAATTTTAGTGCTAAAATATTACAGAAAAAGGACTCAGAATAATATTAGAAACTATTAGAATGTTTAATTAAAACGTACTTTGCATAAGAGATAAAAAATAGATCTATATATTTGGTATATATAAATTTAAATAAAATTCAATTAAATTAGAAATGAAAGATTATGAAATATAGATCTATAGATGTGCTCTACAGAAACCCTTTTAGTTAAATTCAATCTCAAATATCTGCACAAATAAAAACGCTCTTTAGATCTGTAATAATACTACGACAGAAAACGAAAAAATACTCTGACAAATGGAAAGCTCCCACCGCTCATGAATAACAATTGAGATTTGTTTACTACGTTTGTTATCCTTTAATTGGTGCACTATGGCACACAAAAATTCAATTGCAAGCTGCATGCACACACCATGAGAGCTAGATCTATTCGTAGGTACTTCTGTACTCTATGTACTATATCTCTCTACTCTATATAGTTGAGTGCGGGCAATGGGGGCATGCGATTCAGGTTCAAGGGCATTATGAAAGCAACGCTACAAATAAAAACTTAACTCGAGCCAATGCGTTTGCTCGTCTCACCCCCACCCCCCTGGAACAAACCATTGTATCCACAAAAGAAAAAGTAAGAAAATAAAAAACTCAAATTGATTTCAATTATAATTGAATCAACGCTCGAGCGATAAGAAATACACGAGAAAGTAAGCGAACCGACGAGCACAATCGTCGTCGTCGACGTCGTGTCGTCCGTCGTCATTTCCCTCCTGCTTGCTCGATTGCTCTCGATGGCGTCGCAGTTTTCCCAAAATGGCCGTCGCCACGACCAGCAGCAAAATGGCGCTTCCGGGCCATCCGTCGAACAGCAATTAAAATCAACAACAAAAGCATGCCGCCCGTTCCGTTCCGTTCTACTCTCCGATAATCGTTTGCTTTTGCTCTATTTAGAGAATGACAAACAAAAGGTTTTTTTTCGTACCTTTTTTTTGGCTTTTGTGCCAGTGCGAAGAATTCATCAAATATGTATTAATTGCTTTTGCAACGAAAAACTGTAATCACACGGGGGCGTTGTTCAAACGAATATTGGTTTATGCTGTTAGCGACTTTTGGACTCGCTGCGACTCGACTCCCCCCGCCTTCAAGCCACAGAGCAGACGATAACCAACAGAGCACAACAGATCACAGATCTCCTCTCCACTATGGAGCTACGCAAACTGGTTTCTCAACTACGCACAGAATTTGATTAATTTGCTCGCATAATTTAGCCCCCAGTCGTCGGTCTTTGGCATTTTTTTTTTTGTAGCCTTGTTTATCACCAGATTTGTCTAATAAGTCAGCAACAATTTTTACGCAAAGAAAGTTTTTCATTCGCGTTTTGTCGCCGGGCAAACAATCTCTTTTTCTTTTTGTTTTGTATTGTTGATGTGATTTTTGTTTATATTTTTGCAAACAGGTTCGAAAGATTCCCAGAAATTCTTGTGGGGTAATACGATGCCAGATGTAAAATTCAGTAAATGGAACCTAAACAAGCTTAACGCTTCGTTGGATAATTGAATTTGAGATTTCAGACAACAATTAACTTGATTCTGGGCATTCGTTATATAAATAATGGGGAAAAACGAGCTGTACAAATATTAGAAATTTATTGAGCATTTTTCTTTTGCATTTTTTTAACAGAATAAATGTTAAAATGGGTCTTTAGCAAAGTTTTCTTTTGGTTTTAGTCCCAAAACTGAATGAACAAGAGGCCTAATATAATATCTAAAGATAAATATATCTTAGCGATAAATAAAATAATCTAACAAAAAGATAAACCAAAGAAAAGATTAAGATAACAACAAAAATAAACAGGAAATAAGAAAGAGAATCAAAGACGAAGAAAACCAATAGAAATACAATAAAAAGAAGCAACTAAATATCGCTTAAAAATATATAGAAAATACTTTAGAAATCGAATTATTCTACTCTACAAAACCTTCTATATATTTATCGAACCGCTCCTGAACTTCCCTTTAAGTAATTTGCACTCACATGAATGAGAATGAATAAGTCTGTAAACTTTGCCTCTCTCGCAGGTTGACATAAATTGTAAATAATCTGAACAAACAAAATCAAGTAAAAAAGTAAGCAAACAAAGTGCATGGCTGGGGTCCACAGAGGGGCTAATATTACTAGAAAAACGTAGAGAGAGAACCCCCTTTACGAGCAGCAGTAGCACTTGAAGATAAATCTACCCAGATTGTCTGGCTATCACTATGATTATGATGATGCTGCTATGATGATGCTGGTGGGGACTGAAACTGAGGCTTATCAAAGGCTGCGTCAAATGGCAGGCGCTTAGATAACAGGCCAACAGCAAGCAGCCCCACGAGTCGAGTCGAGTGGAGTGGAGTGGATTGGAGTGTCGCATTCCACGCAAATCAGAGCCAAAAATTGTGGGCATAGTCACAGAGCCACAGAGACTCTTAGAAGCCAAAAGCCAAACCTTGTTATCTGTGCAGATATTTAGAAGAAAGTAAACCTGAAAGATCTCTGGCATTCAGTTGGGTTTGAACGCTCTGCGGTAGCGATCACTGGGCGGGGGGTACACAAACCAATCTATAAACTTTCCATCTAAACTATCTGTTGCAGAGACACCAGCTGAAAATTGGGCTATCAATTAACGAACTGCTCACCGTCTACTGTGTGATTGGAAAGCAACATTATTCGTTTATTTATTGGCAATTTGAACGGCGTTGAAAACGCGTCTTAGCCAAAGTGCATTGTGCATT